GGTTTTCTCCATGAAGTCTTCTTTTTGTCTATCCTCCCTGTACAGCTATGAGTTTTCCCTTTGTTTTTGTCTATCCTCCTACCTCACAGATGCCTTTATGGATCTCTTGGAGCACATACTTTCCCTCCTCTTGACGGAGGCATCGGAGGTAGAACAAGGTGAAAGACCTCCTTTACAGTTTGCCTTCAAGCAGAATGTAGTGGGCTACTTGTCGTTAGACTCTCCTCGCTTCATTAATAGAGGGGAGTTTGATCATGCTGCAGCGTGCAAGTAGGCGAGGATGGGATCCATCCAATAGGACTTGGCTTGGACTGGATATACGTTTTCTTCAACACTGGGCCGTGCAAGCTTGTCAACATGTATAGTGCGGCTGAGGGCCGACCCCAACCTACTTCCTAGTTTAGATAGGGCATTGGCTCTCTTGTTCTCCTCCCGAGGGACCTGTTATAGGGTGAGGTGCTGGAAGTGGTTGGCTAGCCCCCGGACTTTGGCCAAGTACTTAGCCATATTGGGTTCTCTAGCTTCATACTCCCCGTTTACTTGGTTCACCACCAACTAAGAGTGACTAGAGACCTCAATGTGCTTATCTCTGAGGTATTTAGGAAGTTGTAGTCCAGTTAGGAGGGCCTCCTACTCAGCTTCATTGTTGGAGGCACGAAAGTTGAACCATAGTGCGTATTCCACCTCGTTGTCTTTTGGGGTGAGAAGTATGAGGCCCACTCTACTTCCCTTGGCATTAGAGGATCCGTCCACTAATAGTCTCTAGGTCGGTCTAGGTCCCTCATGCTCATCAGGTGCTTGGCTAAGGTCTTTGTTGAAGGTGCAGTCCACCAAGAAATCTGCTAGGGCTTGTGCTTTAATAACGGGTCTTGGTTGGTAGTGCAGGTCAAACTTAATTAGCTCAATGGCTCATTTGGTCATCCGACCCGAGGTCTCTAGCTTGGAGAGTATAGACTTCAACAGTTGGTTGGTCAATATGGTGATACTATGTCTGAAAGTATGGCCTGAGATTTTTTGCCGAGACCATTAATACAAAGGCTAGCTTTCCTACCTTGGGGTACTTAGTCTCGGTATTGCAGAGGACCTTACTGACATAGTAGATCGGCCTCTACATACTTCGCCTTCTTGTACTAGAATAGAGCTAACAATGTCGTCCCTAGTCAAGAGGTATAAGAGCAGGGTTTCTCCCAAAAGGGGCCGTGTGGACAGAGGGGGTGAGGTGAGGTAGGACTTCAGTTCATCAAAGGCATTTTGGCATTCCTCTATCCACTAGAAGTTCTTTAATTTCTTGATGGCTCGGAAGAAGGGTATGCAGCGATCAACCGACTTTGACATAAATTGGCGGAGGGCATGACCTTGTAGCAATAGGTGTTATGCTTGGTGATGAACAATGTATTCTCCTCGTCCTTGGGGTGCATCTTGATTTGATTGTATCCGTAGAAGGCATCCATGAAGATTAACAACTCGTAGCCTTTAGTGGTTAACGAGGTGGTCGATCCTCGACAAAGGAAAGTTGTCTTTGGGGCAGGCTCTGTTGAGATCTGTAAAATCAATATAGATTCACCATTTTCTATTAGCCTTCATAACCATGGCCACGTTAAACAACCATTTAGGGTAATGTACCTATCGGATGAAGTCGGCATCGAGTATCTTGTCTACCTCCTCTTCGATGGCTTTCCAACGCTTTGGTGCAAAATTCCTCTTTTTCTGTCAAGCTGGCTTATAGCTTGGGTCTACACTTAGCTTATGAGTAATGGCCGAGGGGTCAATTCGTAGAATGTTAGTAGCAGACCAAGCAAAGACATTGACAGTAGTTTTGAGGAAACTTACTAGTTTGGAAAATGTCTTAAGGAAGGCGGGACCCGATATGCACCGTCTTCTTGAGCTCAGCCTCGTCTAGGGGAATCGAAATGAGGTCCTCTACTGGTTGGCCTTGGCTCGTTGGTTCATCCTTGAGGTTGAGCCCTTTCAACAGCAAAACTTCTTTATTTTTTCCTTTTAGTGCTACCACATAGCACTGTCTAGCTGTCTGGTGGTTCTCCTAACGATTCCGATGCTATGCTTGGTGGGGAATTTCATGGCAAGGTGATAGGATGAAATGGCCTCCTTGAGTGCATGAAGGGTTGACCTCCCAACAATGGCATTGTACGGGGAGCCTATCTTCACGACCAAGAGTTTGGTCATCTTGGTCACCTATCGAGGCTTTGTCCCTACTGTGACTAGTAGGGTGATTCTTCTTTCTAGTTTGATGACAGCTCCGAAGAAGTCGACTAGTGGTACGTTGACTGGCTGCAGTTGATCCAGTGGCAGCTTCATCTTTTTGAAGGTGTCGTAGAAGAGGATGTCTGCTAAAGAGTTGTTGTCCACAAGTATTCTCTTCACCATGTGTTAGCAATGGTCATGGTCACCACCAATGCATCATCATGTGGCAACAAGACCCCCTATGGGTCACCTTTGGAAAAGGAGATGATATTATCTGGCTTCATCTTCTTGGGTGCCAGGCCTTGGATGTTGAGTTGCCTGGCATATGCGTTTCTGGCCGAGGCCAACACTCCACTCGAAGTCGTGCCCCTGACGATGACATTGATGACTCCTGGTAGGGTGTGATGTTGCTGCTGTTGTGAGGACAAGGCATCGGCGTTGCCCCCCACATACTCTTTCAAGTGACCATAGCGAATGAGGGACTCGATCTCGTTATTGAGTTTGTAGCAGTCCTCGGTGTCGTGGCTAGTGTCGCGGTGGTATTTGCAATATTTCTTCGGATTACCCCTCTTGGGGTTTCTCTTCATCTTGGCTGGTCACTTCATGTATTCTTCCTTTCTTACTTGCATGAGGATATGTGTTTGGGTGGAGTTGAGTGATGTGTATTTGCTGAAGGAAGGGATTGACTACTTCTTGTCATTGTGGCCATGGTTGCGGCCGTCTTTTTACTTCCGCTTTTTCTTAGATGCCCCTTGATTAGGGTTGGCCTCAAGTTCTTGGAGGTTCTCACTAGCCTCTGCCTCTTCGGTGGCAATGTTTTTTAATGCATTTTTCAAGAATTCCACCTTCTTCTTGGGCGACGTCTTGGAGATGGACCATTTAGGGGTCTATGTTGAAGATTGTTGATTTCAGCATGCATGGAGACTGAGGGGTCGAGGTCTCAAACTTCAAGTTCATCATTATTGAAATGATCGATGTAAACTTGGAGGCTCTCTCCTCGCTTTTGCTTGATTGACATAAGGGACACGACGGTCTTCTGGCACCATCTGTTATTGATAAAGTGGGAGAGGAAGAGGTCGACGAATTTCTCCCAAGTGTTGATGGACTGGGGGGAGCATGGAGAATTATCTGCGTGCTGCTCCCTTGAAAGTTGCTTGGAATGCTCGGCACATCAGAGCGTTAGAGTACCCATAGGGAAGTATGAGTCCTTGGAAGCTCTCCAAGTGGTTATCCAGGTTGGTGGTTCCATCATACGTCTCCAAAGTGGGAGCCATGAAATGAGGCGCGAGTGGCTCTAAGGTGATGGAGTTAGTAAAGGCATCCATCTAGGTGGATGAGGGGTTCTAACTGATGGAGGCATCATCTCGGCCCTCCTTCACCTATCGGATCTCATCTTGAATGGTGTTGATTAGTGCCTGTAGGTCGCCAAGACGTCGGTCGATGGGGGCTTGGGCCTCGTCTTGTTTTTCTTTGACATTGAACTAGTCGGACCGATTCCCTTAGTTCTTAGACGCTAGCACGTCTTAGGCTTTTCGGGCTCGACGGTCATTGAGGAGATCACAGAGGTTTGATACTAGTGGGGGAGAGGCGTAGCATCAACCCCCAGCCCTCGGAGGAGGACTATTGTGACCAGAGCACCTACCTTCGTCTCAATGGCTCTCTACATGGAGGTAGCAGTCGCGGTCTCGGCGATTGTCATGGGACCCAACTGGATCATCTCCCCTTTGGCTGGGGAGGCAGGATGTCTTTGATGGAGGCTTGCTCGCTCGTTGGCTGTCGCTATTGGACGTTGAGGGGTCGACCTTTCTGAGGCCAAATGGGCGCTGGACCAGTGGTGTGTGAGTAGTGTGCCCATTGTGTTGCCCTTGGCTCCTAATGGGGCGGCCTCCTGTCGGGTGCCCCACCTCATCTAGTCTCTGAGTTATGTTGTCCAATCTGTCAAGGACCAGTTTAAATTGGTCCATGGTGACTAGTTTATGAGGATTTTGATTATTATCTTGTTTGTCAGCCATTTCGGAAGCTTAGTTGTTTGAGCTAAGTGTTTTCTTAGGAGAAGTCTTAAGAACGTTCCCACAGACGACGCCAATTGTTGCTACCTAGTATGGGGCCGGGGCATCAAGGTAAGTTCGCTACTGACCAAGCCCGATGAGTCCAACTTGAGAGTAAGAGGAGAGCACACGTCAGAGGCCCCAGGTGTTACCCCAAGGGCAGAGACTCCGTCGATCAAATTAGTCAAGTGGTTGAGAGGAATCGGACTAGACTTGAGACGAGGCCACTCGAGAGGAGGAAAACTAGAGATTAAGAGTGAAAAGGATGCTTTATCTTGAAGTTGGGCATCCCCTTTTATACTTGACCTTGCTATCGAGTGATTGGAGGCAGTTAGAGATGAATAGCTAGGATCCCATCCGGCCGATACCACGTGGTACCACCCGTACCATCCATTCCTATGGTTTACAAACAACTGAAACTGAAACAAAAGAAATAAACTAATCCATTCTTTTGGACAGATTGATATGGTTAAGGCAAATGGGTCATTCGAACCAAGAAAGGAAAGACAAAAGAAGATTGAAATACGAGTCACGAGACTACTACGATTGATTTCCCACTTCATGGATTACAGAAAGCCGTATCAACCATTTTTCTGGACCCCTTATATGGAACTATGGATAAGACAAATGAGTGACAGAAATAAACGCAGAAAACAAAAGAGGACAAATTCTACAGTGAGAAGAAAAGATAAAAAACTATAGACCAAAGACTAGTGTTCAGTACTTTCTGTGTTCCCACCCGTTTACATCTCATTCATCATCAGTCGACAAGTCCATCGATTTGTGCTTTTCAATAGTCTGAGCGCACTTTGGATGGATTGTAGATAACAATGGAGCTTCTTGGGTGACGGAACACAGGACTCGTTTGTATGGGTTTGAGTTCTGAGGCCCCAGTGAATTCTCTGCATACCCATGTTCGCGAATCTGGACCTACCATCAAATGCATCCAAATGTCAATTAAATTTCAGTACAATTACATCATTTTAACGTTGTGATTCAAAGATTGTAAGTAGAGTTGCTATATTTTTTAAGGAACGAAATTGTTCAACTAAATGCCTTTAAAATCTGCAAAAAAAAAAAAGCCATAAAATCAGGTATTCATAAACTTCATTGGACTCTGGATCTCTGCCCACAAGAATTCAATCCACGTTTATTTACAATAAACTACCTTATGCATAATACTATGTAGGAGGATGAGATGTTCTCCATGTGTGGCTGTAATGTTATTTGAGTAAATGTGGGTAGAATTGTTGTGGACAGGTGATCCGGAATCACTTCATTGCATATTTTGCCCAGCTGATCTAAAATAAGTTGGGCCTATTGGTGGTGGGTCCTTGTAAAAAACATGGGCTGAGTGGTAAGTAATGGGCTACTGCTCGTTAGACTTCTTTTCTTTTAGGCTCTATTCAATTTTGGATAAGTGCATTTACCCATGTTCTTTTATTTTCTACGTAAATAAGATAATAACTGTTTTAATCATAAAAAGTCTTTATTAAAAGGAGTAATTTTGTCACATTCAAGTATTGACAATTCTCCCCCAAGATGAAAAAAATATTTACCTAGAGAAAGTAAGTTTTTCATAGACCTACATAATTAAATATGAAAAAAAAAAACGGTCAATAGGAACCAAAATCCTATTGACCACCAATTTTCCCCCTCTCAAAATCCACAAAAAAGAATGAACCCTTAAAGCATTCTCCACACTATAAAGGTCTTCTGTCCAATACCCTAGAGGCCTAGATATAGACAAAGATGAACACACTAATTAATAGTATCATAACATTATCTTCCAATTGGGTCGATTAGGAAAGTTTCCTAGCTGATCCCACTTCTTTCTACCACTTATATTAGAGCTTTGCCTCATCAGTACTTGAGTCTAAATATGTCGATCTAAATATGTCGAGAAAGCCTTATCTTGAACATGTAGCAAAGTTTTTTGAGTTCAAACTTATTCCATGTGAAGGGTTAGAAAGCCTTATCTAGTCAACTCGTGTTGTGTAAAATTTTTAAATCAGGAACTAGACATATAGACCTGTTCATGGGCTGAGCTCGGGCTTGGCTTTTGCCACAATTTGAGTGGGTCCAGCCTGAGGCTCAAGCCTGAAGCCCGGCCTGTGAACAGGTCTACTGACATGCACCCCTAAGATATATATTGGGTACAGTTTAGGTTAAGTTGTCCAAAGTCCATAAACCTATATTAAAAATTGGATTGGCATTTCCCCATCCAAGCCAACCTTTTTTCAAGGATAATTTACTTGCTTTAAGTTGATCCAACTTATTTTCCAAAAAATTGTTGGCCCAACCCCCNAAAGAAAAAAAAAAGTAAAATAAAAAGGAAAGAAAAACCAAAGTTGATTTTACTTACAAAGTATAGGAGGCTAATCTATAAATTACCCTTAATTTATTGGTAATTTTCTGGTAATTGTCAATAAATAGTAATTTACTATTGAACATTAATTTTGAATGAAAATTATTAAAAACTAAAAATAATTAGATAATTAGTAACATTAAATAATTTTCAGTACTTTTAAATAATTTATAATAATTGCTTAGTTAATTCTGAAAATATCAATAAATATTGAAAATATAATTAACTAAATAATTATTTTGAAAATAACATCCTAATAAAATGATATTTTTTCAATTATTAGTAATTATTGAAAACTAATAATAAATTAGTGAAAATATGAATACCTAATTCTTTGTATTTTAGAACTACTAATTAAACATTAATGTTCAATGAGCATTAGTAAAAAGTAATATATATTTAAATAATTAGTAACATTAAGTAATTTTTAGCATTTTTTAATAATTTTTGTTAATAATTTTAAATTATATTGAATTATTAGTAATAATTATTAGCGATCAATTATTTTCAATAATTGTTGACAATACATATCGATAATTATAACTAATAAGTACTAAATAGTAATAATGCGTGCAAGTTTTTGTTTAATGTTAATATATTAAAGATTAAATACTTTTATTTAACAAAGTAAATAGTGTAACCTGAAGTAAATAACATTAGATGAAAAGTAACGATTAATGGACACTAATATATAGTAATAACAGTTAAATATCAATCATACGTTCAATGGACATAATATTTAATGTATTCTCAATTTTCAACAAAACTAATAAACATAAATGAAGTAATATGTGATGAAAGAAATTAAAGTTTGAAGCAAAGACAACTTACTTGTATAAAGCAGATATTAATAAAGCAAATAATGAAGTGCCTATATAATTGAGTAAACCTAGAACCAAAAATCAGTAAATTAATGACAATTATTTTATAGTTTTCAATAATTTCAGTTATTATTAACAATAATAATGATTATCACTAATATTTGACAATAGTTTTCATTAGTTATGCATAAGTTTCAATAACTATTTACTGGAATTATCAACAACTAATTTTGAATAGTTTCTAATAATTATATATTTCATGACAATAATCATAAAAAATATTTTACAATAACTTTTAGTAATTATTTATCAACAATTTTTAACAAAATTAATTTTCAAAAATTATTAAAAGTTTTCAATAATTATATAAACTATTAAGATTTTCCAATTATTTATTTGAATAATTGAAAATCTTTTAATTTAACTTTCACTAAACTAAATTACCTAAATCAGTAATTTTTAGTAAGATAATTAGAGAAAGTATTCAAGATTTTCAATAACTATGGAAGTTATGAATATAATAACTAAATTTCAGTAATTAAATTTTCCAATTTTCTAATTTAATAATTTCCAATTTACCAAATCAATAATTTAGTAATTTTCAATTTTACCAAACAATTCTGAAATTAATGATATCAATATTTAATTTTAATTTTTTGAAATTATGAATAACTAATTATTGAAAATATCAAATTAAATTGATGTTTTAATTATTGTTGAAAATTTTCTCAAAGTTTAAATTGTTTAATTTCTCAAAGTGTAATTATTGAGATTATTTTAATTAACTTTCAGTACATTCAATTACTATAATCTCTCATTCTAAGTAAATAACCAAAATTGTTAAAGACTTCCAATAATTTTGGAAATTATAAATACAGTAAAATCTAAATTGATTTTTTGTGTAAAATTACTTCTCGAAAACTTACCAAAAATATTAATAACTAATTATTGCTCAAAATTTGCTGAAAACTTAATGGATAAAAATATCAACCCTTATGTTTCTTTCTTCCTTTCTGGTAGTAAGGGTTTTGTTCAATTAGGAGCAAAGTGGGCAAAAAAGCGATAAGGCGCTTTGCCCTATCCATTTTTGTTATTTTGAATTGCCACCTTCATTTATATGAATCTTGAAAGGATATTTTAGTAAATTAACCTTCTCTATCAATCTAGGGCCTGTTTGGCAAGTCTTTTTGGGAAGATCTTCTGGTAGCTTTGACAGTCAAAAGACGCATTGAGGTTTTGCATGAAGATTTGAGCAACCCGAAATTAGTTTGGTAGATACATGTCTTTCTGTGTCTTTCCACGCGAAAATAAAACGTGAAAGACATGAAAAGCTTCATTTGGAGCTTCCCGAAATCAGCCCAAAATGGGCTTCTTACATCTTTTCGGCACTTCAGCTTTTGGCGGCTAGATCTTCCGTGAACCAAATGAGAATAAATCGAAAATCGGTCTACCCAACTTGTTAACAATCAAAAGACCGTGTAAAAAAATGCGCCAAACGGGCCCTTAGTTAACAAAAAGGGGGCAAAGCATTAGAATCTAAAAATTCAAAGGGTCATTGTCACAAATGAAAATCTAGGGGGTTAGTGTCACTATCCCAAGGAACAGATTGGTAATTGTTCTCGCAGCTCAAATTTTTATTTGTTTGTACAGCTCAAATTTTTATAATATACCAATAGGGGCATATCAGATTGTATCGAAACTCGCTTCCTTTTTTTTTAGTGTTTTTTTTTTTTTTTTCCAACCTGATTCAGAGGGGTTGATTTAAGGCCCATCTGTCCCTTAAACTGGGTTATACCCCGAAACACTGCCTTTAGGTATTGAGAAACCCACGATATGATATGTATCAACTAATACGACCCAATACGTATCGAAATTAAAAAGCTTACATGCTTATAATTTATCTATATAAAGACATATTTCTAATAGAGCAATACTCCCAAGACCCTATGCAATTATTCCACCGAGGGTCCACATACAAAATATGGAGGTCTCCCTAGTCCCTACAATGCCCAATTACACATCTTTTATCTACACATGGAGTGGACTGAGTAGCCGAGTCTTCATCAGACCCCATCGCTCTGTACGTACCACACATCCCTTGTCAAATGCATCTGCCCACCAGCCCATACCTCTCCAATACCACTCACTCATGCACCCACAAGTTCAAACAAAGCTCTTCCTCTCTGTTTTCAGAGAGAACCCACGTGGAGCAAAAGTGGTAGGTTCTGGTGTTGAGTGAGTGGTGAAGAATTTTCAAGCCGGCGACAAAATCATCCGACAAAGGATGGCCCAATTGAAACCAAAATAGCCATCATCTCATTCAAGCAAAAAAAGAAAAAAAAAAAAAAAAGAAGAGCAAGAAGGATACAAAACTGCAGCTCACTCATGGCAGCACCACAAAATTTGCATTTGATATTGCAACTACTAGACGTTTGAAAGCAACCCATTTAGTTGCTTGCAACCAGAAAGCAAGAAAATGATGCTTTTCCTCTTTAGTGGGTGAAGAGTGAAGACCCAAGAATTGCTCTGAACCAATCGCTACCTATTCAGTCGTACATGCAGTACATAGACGATAGAGCTACAGGTCCTAGCTATGATATGGAGGTCTATTCAGCCATTGGGTTGCCGACTTCCAGCAGATTTGTTTAGAATCACAGCATGATTAGCAGGTTTTTCACGTTTAAAATAAGGGTAAAGTTGAAGAGAAGAACACGTACGTTTTTTGTGTAGGGGAGCTATGT